TATAAGCGTTGAAATGTGCCTCAGATGTGATTGGACATTGAGCGGATATACTTTTAATAATATCCTTAGGAACAAAGAGCTTTGTATGACTTGTTGAAGAAGTAGCTTCAATAGATGTCGACAGGTAGCTGTGTTTTTCTACTTTGAGTTGGACTTCTGATGTTTTAGTTTCATCAACAGCAGGACTTCAGGGGCTTCACGAACAACTCAAGCCTCAGTCAGAGCTGGGGGAGGGAGTGCTGTCGTGTTGTGATGAAATACTAAAACACTAAGAGTTCAGGAGCGCTTCTTTTCAAACCCCAGCATGCAGGGAAGAAACGTTCCTGCCGTCATAAATGTGAGATGGGGAACATGAAAAAGCCAAAATCCCCAAACACGTTAAAATATTGAGAGCTAGGGTTTGGACGGCTATGGAGAAGTCCGGTTTGAGTTTTATTAAGAAGTCTTTCTCCATCTGTAGCTGCTCCATCACCTGCTCTGATTTGGAAAGAGGAGAAGTTCTTCTGAGGAAGTAATGAACAGCTTTTAAAGTTTTCCTGGCCTCTTTGTTTCTGGTCCCATTTCTTTCTTGGATATCAGCTCAGTCTGCTTTATCAGATTTCTTTGCAACTTGTATTTTTCTCATAATTTCTGACTTGAGTGTCGCTTTTTAAAATAGGAAACTTCTGCGATTCTTATTGTCTTGAGAAGCAAGAGTTTCATCAGGTAGCAAGCCTTGAATCATTGCGTGTGAAACAAAGTCAATGGGTTGATGTGAATGAGGTGTATGACGTAAAGCGAATTTCGTTGCATTTGGTATTTTCACGGAAGCTGATGGGCGTTAAATGTAGGGGGACATGCAGCCCTCTTTTAGCTCCAGCAGGGTATATGCAGGAATCCTGAAGTCAATGTAAAACCTTTTAAGACCTTTTTTAAGACCCTTTCCATACATTTGAAGACCTCATCGCCACTTTGAGTTTTAACCGGTTACCTTGGCGACACACTTCACCTCACATTGACTATATACAGTATTGATTGTCCTTCCTCCTTATCTTCCAACCATTTGGACGCAGACTTGCATTTCCCCATAACGATGTTGTTTAGCAACCGGCGTAAACGGACCTCCGCGCTATCAAGCAGTGAGCGCGCGATGTCCTGTTCAGATGACGTCAAATCCAACGGGATGCCATAAATAAACTACACAGAATCACACTACACACCTACGCCATGATTACATTCAGGCAGACTGTAGAATACAACCTCTTTGGACCATCTATATACTTATTGAAAACAAGCTACAACATGTAATACCTTGGAAAATGCCGTTTAATACTTTTTAATAGCCTTCATTTTCGCTAAATTGATTTATCAACTTTTAGTACTTTTTAAGACCCCGCGGACCCCCTGTCTAGGCATAATTAACAAAGGTCTTCAATGTTGGGTGATTCATATAACTTTAAAGTACTTTTGTAGGCAGACCCTGAATCGAGTGCTCACACAACAAAGAGCAATGAGATTTTCTCGATTGGATTTTAGAATAATTGCAGGCGTCAAACCAAAAGCACGCTCAAAAACGTTGACTTGGCATAATGCTAACTCATTAATTCCCTTGAACCACTCTATTTTTTATTTATTTTTTAGATATGTCCAATTGCTTCAAGAGGCCTTATGGTCTTAGTCCTTTGAAAAAAGAAATATAACGGATTGGTTCCTAATTGTATTCATTGAAATTAGCAACTTGGTTGGGCTATGTCAGGCTAGCTACTCCACTGAGAGACATCAGTTATTTTCATCTCATTAAGTAAATTAAAGTATAAGAGGATATTGAAAACAGTGAAAGACTGTTTCAGATGTTCTAATGTTACCTTATTAAGTGAAGATGATTAAACACAAAGATAACAAAATAACAGACTGAACACAAGTGGAATAAGCTGAACAAAAGCAACCAGTCCACCCGGTGTTTCTTTACACATCTCTCTCTGTGTTTCTCTCTCTCTGCCTTGCTCACCCTCCCTGCAGGTATGCTGTGAAGGATTGACGAAATAATGAAATGTTGTGTCGGTGTTACAGCAGCAGGACCTCCATGTTAAATCTTTCACAGCACAATAAGAGCTCAGACAGACTAAACAATCAGCCACACACACACACACACACACACAAGACAGCAGTTGAACTTCAGCTACTGCTGGTGTTCTTGTTTAGGTGAGCAGCGTCTGGGTTTCGTGCTTCGAAATCAGTTTCATTTCAGTTCGTTCTGGATTTACTTTGTGATTCAGATAATTTTACTGATGCCAGATCAGGTTGAATCTGGTAAATCCAGATATGATGAGCTTGGATTAAGATGTTCTATTAAATACATACAAAATAAATACATCTTGATCTCTGCCTCTTTGTTTATACCAAATGTATGGTTTTGTTTTTTTGAGCAGTGCTCCAAAGATTTTTCCGGAATCTGGGATGATTTTACTGACTGACGTCCACAACAATGATGCGAGTGTAAAAGTAAAAATCTTTAATTTAAAGGTCACCTATCATGCTATTTTTAGGCAATAGCATAGGTCTCAGATATATAAAAATATATAAAAAAACATGTCTATGAAGTGTTTTGCTCAAAATACCAAACAGATCACCCATTCTAGCCATGCCTCATATCCCTCTATTTCACTTCCTGTTTCTAAAGTGCTGATTTTGAGTACAAAAAAATAATTGATTAAATAAAAAGGAGGGGGCTGAGCTCATGCGGGACCCGGCAGCTACTGTCTAAAGTAAATGCTGCCGTGATGAAACGCCATATCATGGATTATCAAGGATTCTCTCTGAAACAGTTTGGAGCTCAAAGGCTTTCTCTCTTGCCGGTTACACCACAAGGTGAGTTCCTTTTTACTTCCTGCTTCTTCACACACATGCTCTCCAGTACAGGTTAGCTCTGAGTGTTAGCGATGCTAATGTAAACACCGACCATATTACGTCCAAAAGAGTCGGGCATTGTTTCTGATAGCAACGTTTCTGATTGGGCCGTGGGTCCACATTTCAGATATTACGTCATATCGGACGCAAATCTGGATCAGCTCCGTTGTACCCCGTTTTTAGAGATTTGGGTACGGAGGAAAAGAGAGAGGGTTTTATTTTCTGACGCTGCATGAGTTCCCTGACACACCGGTAGGGATGGGTATCGTTTGAAATTTATCGATTCCGATTTCGATTCCGGTTCTGCTTATCGATTCCGGTTCTTATCGATTCCCCGTTTCGATTCCAAAATTGTAAAATAAAGAGGTCAAACGTTTAGATAACAACAATATATTTATTCTTAAAAGCTTTAACTGAAATTGTTACTAAAAAATATACATGCAATACAAATGTATTGCACAATAGCTGTGCTTTATTTTAACTGAGCTATGCCTGTGGCAAGCTATTAACAGGCATTACACTTTGCCTTTTCTTTTTCTTTTTTAGTGTAGTGGAGCCTCACTTCAGAGTGTTTACCGCGACCTATCTTTGGTGTTATGAAGTGACTGAGCTCGTGAAATGTCTACGGGAGGGCGGGGGAGCATCGCTGCGGGGCAACTGTGGACCTCTGTCGCCTGTCAGCGCAATTTATATGATGCCGTTTGAAAAAATGAAGGGCGGTTGCCGGCCGTCAGCGTACCGAGCCGGCCGTCAACGGCCCGCTGACGACCGGCCGTTCTGTGATTCTCCAGGTCCGCCCTGTATTCCACCGGGTCACCGCAGCACCGCGGTGCAGACTGACCCGCTGGAATACAGGGTCTACCGCGTTTAGGAACCGTTAAGCAGAACCGAAATTGTGTATTTTGTATGGGTACCCGGTACCCGGCATTTTCTTATCGGTTCTCATCTGGAACCGAGTTTCGGTTCCCAACCCTACACACCGGGGACACATGTTTATGTATAAAAGACATCAAAAAGTGCATTTTGCATGATAGGTCCCCCAAATTGTCAATTAGGTTTAAGGGTCATTCTACAGAAAAGGTGGAATCTGGGTGATACAAATCTGCTGAAATATATTCCTTCTAAAAACATCTAAAACCTGTTAAATAGCAATAACTAACTCTTAACTTGATGAATCCACAACAAGTAGAGCTTAAAGTATTTTTTATTTTTTTTTCTACTTTATACAAAGCTTATTTGTATAGAAATGTCACTGGTGTTACGTGTTACCAGGAAGAAGAGTAACACCAGTGACAATTTGGAGAAAACACTACCATTTTAACAAAATGGCTGCAATGTGTCAAATATGGCTTCAGTCAATATCAAAATCGTTTAACTCTTCAATACAATACATTTTCCCATTCAAATGTTCACCCCTAGGGCTATGCAATGAGTAACACTAATGACAGACTTGAAAGACGCACGTACAATTTGAAGATAAAATGACACCTTTAACAAACAAAGTAAGAAGTATCTGACTTTCCTTATGTCTTTGTCCACTGCACTGCCTCAAATGATCTCTTGGTACAGGAGGCACTTCAGAGACAGTACATTACTTCAAAATAAAAGCGTTTTGTGTAGCAGTAACACCAATGACGTAATTTTGGGTGACTGACATTTATTTGATATTAATAATAATTTGCGTTTTTTCTTACCATTTCAGTGTTATATTTAATGTATGTAATGTTATGTAAATATACATTTGATTTATTTATTGAAAAAAAAATCTTTTAAATTAAAACTATCGGCTCCACTTCCATGTATGATCAAAGTGACAAGGCAGTTCCTTGAACTTGGCATTTTAAATAAATTGCAATTTACGTATACAACCATTTATTTTTATTTTTTATTTCGTACCATTGCAAAGATAATCTCTATTTATTCAACATATATAATGAATGTGAGTATTAGGTCAACATCATGTATTTTGGTGTCTGCAAAAGTAAGTGACAGCACTTCCACCTTTTCTGTAGAATGACCCTTAACCGGAAAGTGTTTCAGAAGGTACAGTCCATGTTGTTCCAAATGTTGGTTAAGATTTTGATCAAATACACTGTCTACTGTACTTAAACCTGGAACATGTTTTTGGGGGGGCTTTTGGCCACTTGGGCACAGAAGAACTTCTGCACAAGCTTGAAACAGTTCCATTTAAATTATAACTTTTAAAGTTATATCGACAGACACTGAGCAACCTAATCATCCCAAGTAAAATGAGGCCTAACAACAGCACAACGATATGAAAATATAAGTTTAGAGAGTCTTACAAAGTAGCATAACAATTATAAAAACATGCCATGGGATAAAAGTATGTGACTGAAGTGATGGCTAAGGATGAGCCGAAACTAGGTGATGGAAATGAGTTTACAAGGAAGACAGATGCGAAGAGATGGGTTTTGAGTTTGCTTTTAACGGAGTCAACAGGAAAACGTTACCTGACGGGGGCTTTCTTCATGTGTTCTCCCACAAAGGTGGCGTTGGTCATGCCCATCAGAGTGTTGGCCAGAGAGATGACGGACAGCAGGTGCTGCGTGGTGACTGCTCTCGACACGCCGTACGTCCCCTTCCCCACGATGTCCGTCAGAGTCAGCTTCAGACCCGTCGCCAGGGACAACTGTCGCAGCAGAGACTCCTGGGAAACAGAGGCAGACAGATGAACCAGGGAAGTGCTACGAAGGGTCAACAGGAGTGTGTGTGTTTGATACTTGTGTGTGTTGCTCAGAGTCTGTCTGGACTGTGTTTGCCTTCTGCTCTCATCTCAACGATATTAGAAGAGTGAAAACATTTGTATACTTGATTTGAAACATGATCTGTGTTGCCTTTATTGACTGGTGAAAACGTTCTGCTCCATCATGTTGCAGAAGACTTTATCACTTAGGTTGAGACTGGATTCTACTTTCTTCTCATTGCACAGAACTGAGACGACAGAGTGCAAAGTTTTCTTACGTTTGCTTAGGGATAATAAGTAAGATATGATCTTTATATGGGGGAGGCTCTCTGAAACAATAGACCGACATTGTGGTACAATATACACATTTTGACATCTGAAGCTTAGATGAATATTTCTTTGTTCTTTGGACATTTTACTTTAACTTTATCCTAAACTGGAGGAACTGTAACGAAACCACATTTTCCCCGGGATAAATAAATCTGTTTCTGACGATAAAGGGAAGATATATAACACAATCTAAATTGTTATTGATATTGTTATACGCTACGTTTAATATGTTTGTTTTATATAACTTGCTAGTTATTTAAAAATGTTCCAACATATATATTTCTGCTTCGGTATCGTGTCATAGTGAGGCTCATACAGGATTGTTTTTCTATTTTCTGTCAGAGGTCAGTTTCAGTCTGATTAGAGAGCGACACAGACAGCACCCAGGTGAGACCCGTCAGTACCTTGAAGGTGGGCAGCATGAGGGACATGTGACCTCCTCTGGAGATCAGGCCGAAGGAGATGGGGCAGTGCGGTCTGAGCATGCCCAGCCGCTCCAGGCAGATGCCGTCCAGCTTCTCGTTCAGACCCCAGGCGTGCAGGCAGGACATGAAGAGTTTGGCCGTGTCCATCGTCAGGTTGTACTCCAGCAGGCTGAGAGACTTGGACTTCTCCTCCCGCCTCCTCATCTCCTCCTCTTCCTCCTCGTCTTCGTCCAGCAGGTGCTCCTTGATGGTCTCCTTCATCGTCTCCTTCACCTGATATGAACAGGAGACAGGTTTATTTCAACAAAGAGACATAATATTAAGCTTTAAAACCTTTAATTTCCAGTTTAAAACTAAGATGGGTTCACACAAGTTGAACTTTTTACAGTACTGAAAAGTGGAATAGTATTAAAAGTTGCGATAAATGCTATCACATTATACTTTGAAACAATTACGCTTTAAAACCTTTGATTTCCGGTTTAAAACATGCAGATTTTTTGTATTACTATATATTTATTCTAAAGTGCATAACCAAGGTTTTACGTTACAACTTAAAGAAGTGCAATATGCTATCATTTAGCAAAGGAAAGCAAAGTATAAGCATATAACCAAGGAGACTACAGTTTTCACGGACTATTTATACGAAGAGAAAGAACGAAAAACACACAGAAAATGAGAAAAGAAAGCAATAAAACTCATTTTAATGTTAAGAACAGATTTTCTGCTTTTTCCCCTTCTGCGTTGACTGACCTGTTTGAAGATCTTGTTGGCCAGGAAGGACCCCCCCTTGTCGGCCCCGGCCTGGCTCTTCTGCAGCGTCTCTGGAGACACCAGGGTGGGGCTGGGTCTCTGCGCCTCCTCCGTCAGCAGCTGGATGATCACGGCCTCCACGTCGAAGAACAGCACGTGCATGTCGGGGTCCGTCAGGTTGGTCTTCATCGCCTGCACCACCAGGGCATTGTGGGAGTATTTCGGCAGGTTGCCCTGGAGGGAAAGAGACATGAAGAAAACTATAATTAAGGATCAATTGAACACAGAAACCCCCACATTGTGCCCTTGTCTGTTTCCTGGTATCGTGTCTTAATATCTGTCCTCATGTTGCAAATGGTCACTTAATGGCATCACCATGTAATACTCGTGCGTCTATTGGCTAGCACTCCAACACATTGTACGTGATAGGCTAATGGGACGGGACATATCTAATGGCCCGTTTCCACTGCAGCGGGTAGCTCGCTTTAAGCGTGCCGAGCTGTGCGGGGCCCGTTTTTGGTTGCGTATCCACTTGGCCTAGTACCGGCTAGCGGGTCCTAATTCACAGTTTTTCTGGCCCCATAAAATCGTGGTTCTAGGGCCAGGAACAACAAGGCTGAGTATGCTAAACTAGAGAGAGAATCGCTGGCAAGGGGGCTACAACTACAACAAGATGAACATATTTGACCGTGATTTAATTGTAATACACATTTCAAAATGATGCCGAAGTAACAACATACTGATACCGGATAGTAAAAACCATGAATTAATGCTTTGACAAGTCTGCAGACAGACGGCAGGAGAAGCACCCTTTTAAAATGCGTGTTTTCTGAATGGAGATCGGCTAAGCTAACGTTATATATGCTCCGACCGTCCACACTCACAACAACGGCCTACACAGACATAAATAAACCAGCGACTGTATTCTCCATGACACAGGCAGTCTGTGGTTTGTACTTGTTTAACTTTTGTCTAGTTTCTGAACAGATATGAAGAGCTGTGAGCTCTGAGTGCTAAGAGCTAACGGCTGTGTTGTTTTTCTGGGGCTCTCATTGAAGATGACGTCACGGCTCCGCCTACACTGCGTTACTATAGTAACTGCCCCAGTTCCTAAACTGTAATGGAAGCGCAGCATTAAAGTGAGCCGGGCCTAATAAGGCCTAACCAAACCGAGCGAGGCCGAGCGAGGCCTGCAGTGGAAACTCGCCATAAGGTTGACCAATCACAACAGAGCCGGCCAGCAATCAGAGCAGACTGGGCTCTGGTTTCAGACAGAGGGTGAAAAGAGCTGCTGCAGCACAGGCAGTATGAGAAAAATTAAGAGCTTTTTGAACATTAAAGCATGAAGACATGTAGAGACACTACACACTGATATACACCTGAACATCAGCAGGATAGGGCCCCTTTAAATGTAATTATCGTATCATATGGTAAAAAAGGAAAATACTAAGATAACAGGCGCTTAGAGCTATCTTGGGACATATTTTAGCAGCTTTGAAATGTTCCTGATGGCAACAGTGGGGATAATTCACAAAAAAGCTGTAGTAAATGGGCTATTACACCAAAACGCTTGGCAAAAAGAAAAACCACCATCAATAACACCTTTCACATGAAACCTTTTATCCATTTTGAATATGAAATATACTCATAAGTGAAGCTTTCATTACCACATTTAGCAAAACCAATTATACCACATCAGAGAATAATGATCTAATAAATGAGTCAGTCCTTTTAATACAAACTGTCATTCACACACACACACACACACACACAACCCATTAGCTGTAATTGCCACCAATACTCCCATATCGCTCGATTTTAATAGTATTAGCAGAGACACCTGCATTGAGCCGTATGCAGAGCAGCGCTGTCTGTTTACATGTTAATGACCTGATAACTGCAATCAGACAACTGCGATCCTGTTAGAGGCATCACTGTGAGGAAGAGGAGGGAATCTGGAGGGAGGAGGAGGAGGAAGGGCGGGAAGAAGTGATTAAGGGAAGCATGGAGGGAGGAAATAATGAGAAAAAGGGCAACACTGGAATTTACCTCTGACTGTGTTTCATGGAGGATTTACTATTTGCTTTTCTAAAGTCTGTTTCTGATTTTAGACCAGAGCAGGTCGCCTCCGACATTTTAGAGGAGTGTGTGGAGTTGTTAATATTCTTGCCCCACTGTAAGTTAGTTTAAGACGTCTGTGACTAAAGGATGACTTCATTTAATAACTGGATTCATGCTATTTGAAGACATCACTAGAGGTGAGACACTGCACATCTATTTTAATTGAGCAGGTGGCTCGGAACAAGACACTGTACCTTTAAGTAAAGCGTTTTAACCTTTAATGCCATAAAAGCTGATAACAATTATTATCATAAAAGACTCCGGACCGAGCAAAAGACACTATACACCTGCAGCTGAGACATTTTGTGTGTGTGTGTGTGTGTGTGTGTGTGTGTGTGTGTGTGTGTGTGTGTGTGTGTGTGTGTGTGTGTGTGTGTGTGTGTGTGTGTGTGTGTGTGTGTGTGTGTGTGTGTGTGTGTGTGTGTGTGTATGTGTCTCAGCTGCAAGTGTACGTGTGTGCAAAAAGGAGGTTTGTCCCCCAAACAGGTGCGGGCTGAACGTTGCAGTTATTAGAATTAATGATAATTGGGACGAATTACGGTCTTCTGATATAACCGTGGGTATTTACCATCAGCAGCTATTATAAAACCAATTACACTAAACCTAAAGAGAAGTAAACATGTTATGCTCACTATTACTACACTTCAGACAGACAGGTAGCAGCACCTCCCACCTTACAGTCCCTTCAGACAGACAGGTAGCAGCACCTCCCACTTTACAGTCCCTTCAGACAGACAGGTAGCAGCACCTCCCACTTTACAGTCCCTTCAGACAGACAGGTAGCAGCACCTCCCACTTTACAGTCCCTTCAGACAGACAGGTAGCAGCACCTCCCACTTTACAGTCCCTTCAGACAGACAGGTAGCAGCACCTCCCACTTTACAGTCCCTTCAGACAGACAGGTAGCAGCACCTCCCACTTTACAGTCACTTCAGACAGACAGGTAGCAGCACCTCCCACTTTACAGTCCCTTCAGACAGACAGGTAGCAGCACCTCCCACTTTACAGTCCCTTCAGACAGACAGGTAGCAGCACCTCCCACCTTACAGTCCCTTCAGACAGACAGGTAGCAGCACCTCCCACCTTACAGTCCCTTCAGACAGACAGGTAGCAGCACCTCCCACTTTACAGTCCCTTCAGACAGACAGGTAGCAGCACCTCCCACTTCACAGTCCCTTCAGACAGACAGGTAGCAGCACCTCCCACTTTACAGTCCCTTCAGACAGACAGGTAGCAGCACCTCCCACTTTACAGTCCCTTCAGGACAGACAGGTAGCAGCACCTCCCACTTACTAGTCCTTCAGACAGACAGGTAGCAGCACCTCCCACTTATACAGTCCCTTCAGACAGACAGGTAGCAGCACCTCCCACTTTACAGTCCCTTCAGACAGACAGGTAGCAGCACCTCCCACTTTACAGTCCCTTCAGACAGAACAGGTAGCAGCACCTCCACTTCACAGTCCCTTCAGACATGACAGGTACAGGCCTCCCCTTTACACGGCATAGACAGGTAGCAGCACCTCCCACTTTACAGTCCCTTCAGACAGACAGGTAACAGCACCTCCCACTTTACAGTCCCTTCAGACAGACAGGTAGCAGCCCCTCCCACTTTACAGTCACTTCAGACAGACAGGTAGCAGCACCTCCCACTTTACTAGTCACTTCAGACAGACAGGTAGCAGCACCTCCCCCTTACAGTCCCTTCAGACAGACAGGTAGCAGCACCTCCCACTTTACAGTCCCTTCAGACAGACAGGTAGCAGCACCTCCCACTATTACTACACTTCAGACAGACAGGTAGCAGCACCTCCCACTTCACAGTCCCTTCAGACAGACAGGTAGCAGCACCTCCCACTTTACAGTCCCTTCAGACAGACAGGTAGCAGCACCTCCCACCTTACAGTCCCTTCAGACAGACAGGTAGCAGCACCTCCCACTTTACAGTCCCTTCAGACAGACAGGTAGCAGCACCTCCCACTTCACAGTCCCTTCAGACAGACAGGTAGCAGCCCCTCCCACTATTACTACACTTCAGACAGACAGGTAGCAGCACCTCCCACTTTACAGTCCCTTCAGACAGACAGGTAGCAGCACCTCCCACTTCACAGTCCCTTCAGACAGACAGGTAGCAGCACCTCCCACTATTACTACACTTCAGACAGACAGGTAGCAGCACCTCCCACTTTACAGTCACTTCAGACAGACAGGTAGCAGCACCTCCCACTATTACTACACTTCAGACAGACAGGTAGCAGCACCTCCCACTTCACAGTCCCTTCAGACAGACAGGTAGCAGCACCTCCCACTATTACTACACTTCAGACAGACAGGTAGCAGCACCTCCCACTTCACAGTCACTTCAGACAGACAGGTAGCAGCACCTCCCACTATTACTACACTTCAGACAGACAGATAGCAGCACCTCCCACTTTACAGTCCCTTCAGACAGACAGGTAACAGCACCTCCCACTTCACAGTCCCTTCAGACAGACAGGTAGCAGCACCTCCCACTTCACAGTCCCTTCAGACAGACAGATAGCCAGCAAATCACAACTGACAGTCCCTTCAGACAGACCAGGTAGCGCAACTCCACTTTACAGTCCTTCAGACAGAGGGTAGCAGCACCTCCCACTGTACCGTCCCTTCAGACAGACAGGTGGTAGAAGGCACCTCCCAACTTCAACAGTCACTTTCAGACAGACTAGGTACAGAAACTCCCACTTGACAGTAACTTAGACAGACAGGTCGCAGCACCTCCCACTACAGTCCCTAGAAGACCGGTGGTAGCAGCACCTCCCACCTTTACAGTTCCCTTCAGAAAGACAGGGTAGTCATGAACTCCCAATACATGTCGCTTCAGACAGAAGGGTATGCAGCACCTCCCACTTACGTCCCTTCAGACAGACAGTAGCAGCACCCTCCCACTTTACAGTCCCATGTTATGCCGGCTTTTCTTGGCTTGTTTTAAGGTGAGTGGAGATGAACAAATTACTAAACTGCCAGTGCCTCGAGTTTACAGCTAATTAGCTAAAAGACAAAAACAAACATAGTTAACTAAGGTTGGCTACTAGCTAATGGATACGTTAGCTCAAGGTTTAGCTAAGGCAATTTAT